TTTTGGGTTGTGAAAACCATTATAAAGTAATAAATACTAGACCGCATTTTCCAACGAATATGTTGTAGTGTATGTCCAGTGTGCTAAAGATCTCTCTTGTTTTCTACTGGAAACGTTGGGCATAGGTTTCAACTTCAACTTGACCATTAATTTTTTTAAAAGCCAAATTGGATATATTACTCGTCTAGACTTTATAAGTTTTGGGGATTTCATATGAAAAGCTTATTAATGATTGTTTTCTCACCGTTGATTTTTTTCGGTTCTTAATTTATTTAAAAAAAAACATATCTCAGGTTTTTTGATTCCTAATTTTTCTAAATTTTTAGGTTCTTTTCACTGGGTAAGTGTATACCCATTGTGCGCGGTGAAGGTGTTTATCAAAGGGGAGTTGATTTCTGTATCGAAAAACTTGCAGAAAATCAGTGGGTTCATGTCTTTCCCGAAGGCAAAGTAACACCTGTTCCTATACGGATCAAGTGGGGTGTAGCGCGTATGGTAGGTTACATTGTCATTGTTGTTTTCCCTTCCTGGCTATACGCAGTTATTACTATACTCGCAAATGACCCTTCAAATTTTTTTTTACACAAAACCATGGATAAGAAATAGCAATATATGACTGTTATATCCTGGATGCACTTCGCAAAATATTTTTGTCTCTGAGATATATAAATGCACCAACTTTCAGATTATGGAAAGTCCAAATCCTCCAATACTTTTACCTATATGGATACACCAAATGGCTGAGGTCTGGCCACAATCGAAACCATATTATCCAAGAATAGGAAAGGTAATATAACCCTATGCATTCTTTCGTATATTACAGTCATGTCATAATAATTGCCTGAGTTTTGAATTACGTTGCCTGAATTTCGAATTTTTTTTCTCTGATACTATTTTTTTAGTGGCCATCTACACAAAAAGCATTGTTGTTTGACATATTCTCATGTTGCAGCATGTCATAATAATAATAGGCTCTGAAGTGGATATGAAAGAACATATGTGGAGATTCCGCGCTGGCTCTGTATTAGAAAGGCGAAAAGTACTTGCTGATTTTGTGCAGGAAAAATTGTTTGACCTCAGCGTTCAGATTGACAAAATGAAGCTTTAGCTGATTGTAGATGAAGTTTGTCATATAGTAAGTATGATTAATAATCATTTCAGGTTCAGCTCAATCTTTAATTTGTTCAGCTTTCCTTCACACATTTTGTACATATTTTGATGTCTAAGGGCGTATATGTTATCCTTTTAAAATTTTAAAGATATCAGCTTATTTGGCTTCTTTCTGAGAAAGTTTGCAGAAATATCGTCAAGGTTGGTTGAGCAAGTAACAGTCAAAGTTTTTAACGATCGAAACGATATAAAAATGCTATACTTTATAAAAGCTTGTTGATAGCTTGGGAAAAATTGCTTTTCAAAGTTAGGGGAAAGTGTTTTTTACTGAAAGATAGCAGTTGATTTCAGTTTATTGAAAGATTGCAGTGATTGCGATGCAAGTGCATTCTGGTTAACTATTTATTTAAATAATAAATTTTTTCCATGATTGTTTACACTCACCATCAAACCTTTTCATAGAATTTGAGAAGGAGGGGATGGTAATCAAAACGTTCTGTTATCCTGAAATGAAGAAACGTACATTCTAGAAGCACATTTTGCATTACAGTGATTTGTGATATTACTTTCTACATGGTCAAAAAATTTAGTAGTGTTGGTAGTCAGGATAAATTGAACAATTTCCTCTTGCAAGAGAAACTTCACTACGGTGCAGGTTTCGTCGATTGTTTTTACATCATGATTGTATTCTTCAGCAATATTAGAGAAAGCATATGGCTGTACCACTCAAAATATAATTCAAACTGATCATTTGATTATTCAATTCTTTGGAAGAAATACAATTACTTGATTATAGTTAAAAATTAATTTCGGTTTTCCCGACATTCCCGAAGAGGGCGGGAATTGAGAATGTTTAGGGGAAGAAAAATAAGATTATGGCGAAGAGAAGTTTGTTTATTGGAAATATCTTGACCTTCGATTCCATCCGAAGGGATTTGTATTATTCTCATAGAAATAATTTACCCTCGGTTTGATTTTTTAGCACATAAAGAGGGAAGAGTGGATCGAATTATGTCAAATTTTAGTCTAATAATAATTAACATAATTAATGTTACTGAAATAATTATACAGTAGTGGTCAATTTCCAATGCGTTATAACTTCTGCTAATTCCTCTTCTACTGATTCAGCAACCTTGTCAAATTGAATTTTCAATTCTCTGACTAATTCTTCTCCTTGTTGATCTATTTCTTCCAATAAAGACTCCATTTTTGGTTGTTCAGCCACTAAATTGATAGTTTCATGTTTCTGAGCTAATATTTCTAATTTCGCATTGATTATTTCGATTTCAAATTTACTGATTATACCTGCTTTGCAATCGGCTGTTTTTCAATCAAACTTATTAGAATTGCAAGGCAGCCGCATATGCTCTGGAAGAGGTGTCAGTAAATACATGGAAATTTAATTGTTGTAATTGATCAATTACTACACGTGAGATTTTCTTGATTTGGATTGGTTATGGATTTATAAAGGATTTCCATGTTTGAACTTCTTCCTCATTTAACGTTTGATCCCAAAAAAAACATTCCTTTTCCAAGGAGTTTGAAGGAATAATCTGAATGGTATCATCGTTGGAATTAAAAATCCCAATGAACTTAAATTCAGAGGCGGTAAATTGTGGTTATTGTCTTTTTTGTTGGTTCTTGTTCGATTCACGGTTTCAAAATTATTGCAGTAAGATCTTGTATGGATCCCAATTGATACTAAGAGAGATCTTGTTCTGGTATTTGTCTGTTGAATTCTCGGTTGTTTGAAAAGAATTCTCTTATATTCATCGAAACATCCTTTAAAATTGACTTCATTTTTCCATAATTTCTTAAAAAAAGAATTCTTCTATTCTTTTAATTGATAATATTGTCGACATGGAGGTTTTTCCTGATGGACAATTTCACTTTTATAACTCTTTAGATAACAGTTAAGAGTAGAAGGTAACAAGAAAGAAAAGGGTACTCTTCCAAAGGCAACTTTTTGAAATCGATAGCATATTAGATTTTCTTCTATAACTGGTTCTCGAAAATCTTTTAACCAAAGAAATCGGATGCAGTTCCTTTGTGTCGGGAGTAGTTACAATCGTTTCTAAAAAACTTCTTCCCATTTTTAAGATGATCCCGTTTATTGGTTTCAGTTTGAATTTAATTACTGTAATTTATAATTGAAAGAGTACATGTTTTTGTAGTTGATGTTAGTTTTTTTCATCTCAGATAAGCAAATACATTGCTGAAGAGATTGATGCTACCACGATAATATTTCTCATGCTGGTTTATATGAGCACTTAATTCACTTAAACTAAGGTTGGTTGCAAAATTTATTTCCAGGTGTGCTTCTACTTCTACATTATAACTGTAATAATCTTCCACATTTTCACCGGTTGGATTAGAGTTGGAATTTTTCTATCCCAAAACACCAGTAGAGCTTCATTTATAGAAGATCTTTGTTGAGGTTAAGTATGGAGGTGATCCTCATCTAATTGAGTTGGATCTAAGATGACTGACACATCATGTTGGTCAAATGAAATGACTGGTAAAGAATTGGTCAAATATTCTAAAACGTTGATTTTGAGTGGTATAATCTTGAATCTGTAATTTTTACTCCAATTAATATTGTGTAACTAGGGACTGACGTCGGATGTCCTGTACTAAATGTGGCAGTCTTTATCATTGTATTTTCACCTTCTTCTAGGTTATTTCCTCGAAATAAGTGGTGATTCTGAACCAATATGGCTATAGTATTTTCTTGAATTTCAGCATAATTGGGGTTGATGACTTTAATCTTCTTGCATAACAGCAAAATCCTTTTACCTTTTCCATTTTTCTCTTTTCCATCTGGCGTAATAACATTTACAGAGCTGATTCTTGTCTGATTCAACATGTTGTTCGTATTCTTTGTAATTGGTTTGACATAAACTGTGTTGTGGTAACCCTTACAAAAGAAACAAGATCGTTTTCTATTTTTGCAATCATTTGCCGTATGTCCAATTTTGGGACAAATTCTGGCAAGTATTTATTTTTCTCAAATGTTTCATTCTTTTGTTTAAAGGAGGGATAAGTTTGGCATTCATTATCCCAGTGATCCTTGTCACAAAAAGCGTAAAGTCTGTCTCTTTGTTTTACTTCCTTTTAAGTCTACCTTTTCTTGATCTTTAGAAATTTTCGTGTATTTAAATTCTTAAACAAGATAAATTTTTAAAGTTTTGGATGTATTTAAATTCCAACCACTTTTGATTAATTGATTCTAGTGCAGCGACGTACATTTCAAAACGTTTAATTCCGCCTTTGACGATCCCTTTTTTGATTTCATATTTCGTATTTCAATTTTGCAGTAGATTTCGATCTGGTGGTGTTAAATCGACTTCCTTAAGTGCTCAAGGAGTTTTAGAATTCTTTAAATTGTTGGTTGAGCTTATTTGGCTAGTGAAGTTGATATCATAGCTCATTTCGGGCATCAAAAATTTTGTGTTATGGAAAATTTGGTTGTTCCACAAACAATAATGGGAAACATTTATTCTTTGAGGTTGAGAAGTTTGCGATAACAATTCCACAAACAATTGAAAAATAAAATATGAACCGAAATAAGCAATAGGAAATATTGTTGAACAAATAATTTGAAGAAAATGTAATGAACACGAATGGAAACCTTTGAAATACTTATCGTTGGAATAAGCGTGTGTGTGTGTGTGTGTGTGTGTGTGTGTATGTGTGT